ATGCAAAAAAAAAAAAATAAATAAATAAATAAATAAACGATTCTATATTCACTTATCTCCTTATGATTAAAATTTTTCAAATTAATATTAGATCACTATATTCAAAGAAGTTGCAATTGGAAGCCTATATGAAGCCAATCAAATTGATATTGTAATTTTAATTTATCTGAAACATGGATGAAAAAGGAATATAAATATGATATATCCGGATACTCTTTAATACATACCAATAGAGACGATGGATTCGGAGGTGTAGCTTTATATATTTGCCATAGACTACGTTCCGAAACTATAAATACCGAGATATACAGCAACACAAAACTTCAATTTGTGGGGCCAAAATCATAGTCAATAATAGTACTGTGTTTATATTTTTTGCGATTTATTGTGCTCCAGGACACAGGACAATCTTACTTATTGGACTTCTTTATTTGGAAACATATCGCCGCCTTTTTTAATTGCAGGTGATTTCAATGTGCATCATACGAGTTTTGGCAGCATTCATAATAATCATGACGGAATAATTTTAAGCGAAGCCATTAACTCAGAGGGGTTATGTGTTCTGAATGACGGATCGCCTACGTTATTGAGAAGACATGACAGAAATCCTTCTGCGATAGATTTATCTATATGCATCCATCTGTGATGCTCAGTGCGGAATGGCACGTCACAGATGAAACTTTGGGATCGGACCACCTTGGTATATCAATTCGGATTGGAGTGAGTAGGGTTAATATGAATAACAATACTATTAGAAACAGGCATATTTGGAAAATTAAGAAGCTGACTGGAAGAAATACGAGCAAGTAACAGATAAGCTATTGTCAGAATTGATATTTGATAAAGATCCATCGGCTACGTACGGTAAGTTTGTTAAATGCATAAATCAGGCGGCTTTGTTAGCAATTCCCATGTCAAGACCTTACTTCGGTAAAAAAGATAGATTTCTGTCAACGCCTTGGGGGATGAAGAGTGTGAGAAATTCAATAAGATGAAGCTAGAAGCTATTAGAAAATACAAAAGGTCTCCAGTTTTGGCTAATTACATCGAATATAAAAGAATTTTAGCGAAAATGTCGTATAACGTTCAAAAAGAAAAAACGGGACAAGTGGATTGAATTTTGTAATTCTTTTACAAGATCAACTTCATCTAAATACATTTGGATAAAGTAAAAGCCTTGAAAAATAGAGTAGTGCAAGAAATCCTTTTCCTATAGATGAATCAGATAAGTTCCTTAACAATATTACCCCGGCCTCAGCAACAAATGAAGTAATTATTCCAAGTGCACAAGAAATGGATGTACTGGAAGTCCTTTCGCATGCAGGAGCTTCTTTTGGCACTAAAAACAAATTCGAACACTACACCGGGTGCGGACAATATTCACTATCCAATGTTGAATAAATTATCCAGTTTTGGCAAGAATATGTTACTACGGGTTCTTAACGAAGTTTGGACCACCGAAACAGCTATTCATGAGTGGAAAAATATAATTACAATTCCAATTCTTAAACCAGGCAAAGATCCTTCAAGAGCAGAATCATATCGTCCTATATCGTTGTCTTCATGTATAGCGAAACACATTCGAACGACTGATCAAAAGAAGATTGGAATGGTGGGCGGAAAGCAACAGGATATTTTCTAGTTGCATGCTAGGTTTCCGTAATAATCGGGGCACGATTGACGTTATCACATCCTTGGTATATGAAATCAAAATTAATTTAGCAAAAAATAATCTCCTGATTGCTGCAAAACTGGACTTAGTTAATGCTTATAACTGCGTTCAAATACCTATATTAATGAAGATTCTGTCTGATATCAAGATGCCAAGAAGATTTATTCTTCATATACACCACCTCATATCAGACCGCAGAATCAATCTCAGGTGTAACAATTTACAATTCGGACCACGTAAAATGAAAGAAGGACTACCTCAAGGATCCGTTCTTAGTCCGCTATTATTCAATCTATATACCTGCAAGTTACAATCCGCGCTAGATCTGGAAGTCAAAATTATGCAGTACGCGGATGATATTATACTTCTACATAAGGCTAATACTTTGCATGAGGCTATTGATAAAATGAATATAACAATGCAGCTCTTCCATAATTGGTGTATATCGTTAGGGTTTTTAATGTCAGAAAATAAAAGTACAATAAGCCTCTTTACAAGACATAGGAAGTCTATAAATCCAGACTATATCAGCATAAACAATAATGTGCTGAAGGTTGAACCTACAATTAGATGTCTCGGGCTACTTATTGATGACAAATTAAAGTGGAAACCACACATCGATTATCTGGTTTATAAATGTGAAGAAGCACTGAATATTCTCAGGTTTCTTAATCACATTAATTATGGTGCTGATATCAAGATTTCTCTTAAATATATCACAATCAATTAATATTATCTAAGTTGGATTACGGTAGTTTCATATATGGCGACATCCAAAAGTGTACTTAAACTAGACACAATCCAAAACAAAGCTTTGAGGTCTTGTTTGGGGGTCATGCGTTCCACTCCTATCAATGCATTACATGTTGAAGCTAACATATATCCTTTACACTTGAGGAGGAGATTGTTGGCTTCAAACTTCATCATAGATAGATTGAAATTTAATAACGTAGTATTAAAGAATGTGAATCAGATCAAATAACTCAACAGCCAGCCCATACTGGAGAAATAGGAAGAGGCCTATTCTAGTAACTGCGTATAGTGAAGTGGTTGAAAAATGTAATCTCTTACAAACTTGGGCAGCAACCTCAAGATTTCATTTCAAGTACAATGTTACTTCTTCTAATCTGAAAAATATAATTCAAATCGATTTCGCAATGTGCACTATAGTGGAGATACCAATAAATGTAGGATGGAGATCGAAGAAAGTATACAGGAAACATTTGAAGACTATGATATATTTTACACAGATGGTTCGAAGAATTCAGATGGTGTCGGTGCGTGTTTTTACCATCAGGGGACAAATTCCTTAACAAAATATAGATTAGATAAAGATGCGTCAATATATACAGCGGAAATGTACGCTATTAATAGGTGCGTAAGTATATTGATGAACATAATGTGAAGAAATCGGTCATAATCAGCGATAGCAGGTCTGCTCTTGAGGGCATGTTGTCGTTGGGAAAGGACCCGTCATTATTAACGATAGACACATTAAATGACATACATGCGATATTATTAAAAAAATGGGAGTTACGCATTATATGGGTAAGAAGCCATATTGGGATAGCTGGCAATGAAGCGGCGGATAACGGCGCCAAAGATGCTATAAATACGGGACTGTTGTTGCGGATGGAATATCATATAGTGACATAAAAAGATGTAACAGAGCAAACATTCGGAATATTTGGCAATTGGATTTCCAGTCATCGATAAGAATTAAGGAAGTTTTTATGGTATGATACAAGGAAAAATTCCAGCCAAACCATGGTATGACGGATTCACGGAGTGTCGGCCTTTTTATGCTACACTATGTAGATTAAGACTAAATCATTCATACGCTCCGTTCCACCTAAGCAGAATTGGGATCAATATCGATCCTAGTTGCTACTGCTTGGGTGAAGCGACTAGGGCGGATGCAGAACACATCATTATGGAGTGTAAACGTTGGGAAAGGGCAGGCAAAAACTATGGGAAGAAATTATTAAACATAAAATCTGCCTTCCAATTAATTTTATAACAATGTTACAGATGTAAGACTATATGGTGCTCTGTATACTTATATAAAATCTAATAATATAAAATTATAAATAAAATATACATAAATACATACATATAAAATTACAAATGAAATATACATAAGTCAGTGATATATATGTAAGACAAGACTAAGATATAGTGTAGATATGATATGATATAGTAAATGTTTAAATAAGTTTAACTCATGTATATGGCTAATATACTAGTTTATAAAGCCAATAAATCATAAATAAAAAAAAAAAAAAAAAAACTAAAATTTTAAAATACATTTTAATGATACATCAGTAAAGGATGCCAAAAATGTAATAAAAAATAATTTTTTGTGTTGAAGCGATATAAAAATTTGTTACAATCATACAGGAGAGGAGGGCAATGAAGTATTATATTTATATTAAATAAATATATTCTAAATTAAACTTATAAGCAAACCTATATTTAAATAAAACCAGATTTTTAATTTATTAAATTGAAAACTTTTTTATAAATTTTTAATTTATTATAATTAGTAATTATTTACAAAAAAACTATAATATATATATATATTATATATAATATTATATAATATAATAATAACCTATGAATAAGTATGTTAGTACAATGTTAATAATAAATGATTGCATCTTAAATACAAAATCGAGTAATTTTACTATTCTTGTAGGAATAGTAATTATTTTATTTATTTAACACATAGAATGGTTAGATCAAGTATTAATACAACATATTATAAAAAAGAGATATAAAATAAAATAAATTAACAACTTTGTTATAATTTTGCAATAATGTTATATTTTATAATCGTTTGTTTGCTTTGTTATGAACTCATATACTAATAAAAACAAAACAAACATCTGCAGAAAAAGTTCAAATCAAACGATAATTAAAAGTATGAGACATAAAAATCCATTTAGAAAATCTAACAACTACTTGATTTTTGTATGTAATCATCATTGAAATAAATATTTATACTTTCTATTTTTTTCAAAGTCTTTGCTTTTGTTTTTCTGAAGAGTAAGTCCTAAGATCAAAGCCGGTGTAAGAGTCAACAAGTTTCTTTCCATGCAAAGAAAATATTATCTGGAGCTTGTACCTTCCATTTGGCAAAAGATATGAAGGTAGTTTTGTTTCATCAATATGTAACTCTGCATAATAGTTATCCTATAATATGAATTAACATTACACTAAAATAATTTGTATTTTTATACATCATGAACAAACTAATTGTCTATCACCAATAAATAAAAAATCAAATACATAGTTACCTTAAGTATGGGACAGCTCTTTGGTAGTTTATGTCCATCCGCAAATAATAGATTTATAATGTGTTCCTTTAATTTTTTGAAAAAAGTGTCTGCAAAACCCACCTGCTGGCTAACAGCCTTTGGGTTTATCATGGTACAATAATCTATTGTCATACAAGGAAGAAATTCTTTAAATTGGTTACTTGCCTGTTGGTAAAACTGCACTGTTATCTGTAAAAATAGAAAATCAATAATTAATTTTTCAAATTAGAATTTTATTTCTAATCTTATTCTTGATTTTCTAAATTCATTATTCAAACATCTTTAAATTGGTTTATTTGAAAAATATAGTATTTAGAATTTTTCAATATGAATTAATCTTCTAATACCAAATTTTATATGGCGCAAAATTTTAGATGCCATTTGCACTTCCAATTTTTATTCAAACATAAGTAGTGAAATTTGAATAAGCATTCAAAACATTGCATTTGAGGTGAAAATGTTTAATTCTTTCAAAAAATATATTATTTTTTGGGTGTACAGAACCAACTATTGATATATTTCGTGTCACTTGCAGATTTAAAATTTCATGTAGAATGATATGAACATTAAATAGAGTCTAATGAATAAAAGATAAAAATGATAAATTATTTACATTGAAATTTTCCACTACTCTAATTGTTGTAAGATTTAAAAGTACAGCTGAGTAAGTTCGATTTCTTCTCTTTATTTCGTACACATAGTCATCTGAAATATATCCCTTCTCAAGATGAACAAGTTCTGCAGATCTTAAGGTGACTCTGTAATTTGTCTGAAATAAAACAATATAAATATGTTATATTTAACCAAATCCTAAAACATTTTTGCATTTATTACATACCCAACTTTGCACCTCCTTCTGATAAAAAATTAAAAATAAAACCAAAACTTTAAACCACATTCTAATGGAAGGTATGTAGAGGCAAACAAACAAGTAATAAAAAATAATTATTGTATGCAAGTAATATAAGAATTCGCTGCAATTATACAGGAGAGGAGGGCAATCGCTATGAATTGAAACATATTACTTTTATAAATTCCGATACATATAAATAAAACTGATATGCCTGTTTATAATATTAAAATAGCTGTTTTTAATATGTGCATACGAATACAAATAGGGTTCATAAACCAATTAATGAACGAAATTTTGCTTCTTTGTTCTTTTTTGTTTTTTTTTGCATTTCATCTTATCTTAATTTAATATATTTTAATGATCTCATATATATATATATATATATATATATATATATACATAGATATATACATATATATTTACTTATTCTTATTTCACACATCTTATATTTAAATTAATTCAAACTATTACAATAAATGACGATCAGGAACACCTGATGTGGCGGCTATCTTAGGTATATATTTATCTTGAAAAAAAATCACCCAGTTTTCCCATTTTGTTATATTTTATGTAAAAGTACCTATTCATATTAAACATAGATAAAATCTGTTAATGTGTCATTGATGACTTCTGCTCATGGAACCGTAAAATTGATCAGGTGCAATAAGTAGTTTCTGTGCATAATCAGCATTTAAATTTAATAGTCATGATTTTTAAAACTGTGGAATATCTTGCTTTTATATAATCAAACTTTTTGCTTGGTGTAGATTGAAGAAAATAAATAGAATTTCACATATTTTTAATGTTTCTATATCAATGCCAAATCATAACTAATGTCTTCACACAATTCACAAGTAGGCTAGTATACTTAGTTCCACTAGAATTGAAATACGAGATGATGTTTTTTACAAACAAATTTTTTTTATCATTTAAAATAAGCGATTATACATATATATATATATATATATTTATATATACATATATTATTTTAATTTATTTTATATTAAGTATATTAATTTTGATGTGAAATTTGTGAGCCGAAGTTCTTCAGAAAAATATATCAAATGAAAATGGAAAATTTTATTTAATCTTCATTATGATCATAAGTTTCGACATATTATTTTATTTTGAAATATTATCATGTTAATATGACAACAAATTGAAAAAAAATCAAAATACAAAATAACTAACTAAATCAATGGTATGTATAAAACTGATTAAAATCAATATGAAAACATGTAACATTGTGACAAGACTTACAAAGTTACTCAAAATGAATGTATATATTATTAAGAATGACAATCATCTTCATTAAATATTTTTATCATTGAATGAATGCTGAAAATCATTTCATCGTCTGAAAATTCTCATAATTTATATATATATATATATATATATTATATATATATATATATATATATATATTTATATATATATATTATGATGTGTTTGCGTACTCAAAAAACTTTATAAATTAAAATGTTCTTGCTTTATTCCTTATTAAATCTTTGCATACAAATTTAACTTAATAATTGATGTATACGAAATCTAAAACATATTATTTTTTTGTCAAAAACTGTAACTGTAAGTTTGAGAAGCATCCGCCCATTTCAGTTTATAGAAGATAGAACTTAGATTGTTTCAAATATCCCGTAATTATATGAATTTTCTGATCAATATTTACTAGAATAAATATTCATATTTTCAATTTGTTCTAAAGTCTTTGCTTTTGTTTTTCTGACGAGTAAATCGTAAGATCAAAGCCAGTGTAAGTATCAGCTACTTTTTTTCCATAATGAGAAAATAATAACTGAAGCTTGTACCTGCCTGTAGGCAAAACATATGAGGGGAGGCTTCCTTCATCAACGTGTAATTCTGCATAATAATTACCCTAAATATAAAGATTATGAATTTTTATATACCATATATCATCTGGCTTCCTCAAAAGTTATTGTTAAGTACATTAAATTATCTTATTCTTCCTGTGACATTAACTATACGCATTTTTTAATTTCGAATCATAAATTAAAATTAAAAAAAAAAATCAAAAAACACTTGCAAAGTTGTCACTTTATAAACACTTTTATAGCAGGTATCAAGTTATGGTATAATGGTTTAATTTCTACTAGATAAAAATGGAATAAATTATGTTTCTGCAAAATGTATCTGGGAATACTTGAATTTCGATCAATGAATAATTGTATTGAATTTTATGAACATGCCTAATATGAATTTGTGATAATACATTCGACAGGGTTGTTTAATATATAATATACTATTAATATTTAATAATGACAATTTCATATTATTTTTTCAACCAATAGTTTCAGTCGCAATCTGACTTTCGAACAGTGCACATCGAAATAATATTCAGGTAAATATATAGTTAAATTTGAATAAAGTGAAGTGAATAGAAAACAAGAACATAACACAGCGCATGTAAACAAACCCGTTTTTATAGTGAGCGAGCCCCGTTCGGAACGGGGACAATTCGAAAAATGGTGCAACGTTATAATACAATTTGGGTGCAATTTGAAGAAAACAAATTGCGACCCAATGCGAAAGAAATATATCTATGGATATTTAAGAGTTTAGAACATTTAGAAAACGAAATGATCGGTTATCAAACGACGCCGAAAGGCATATATATAAAATTCAATAAATTAGAGATTTGCCAGAATTTAATAGAAAACGGTATTGACAACAATAAGATCCCAATGGCAAATAACGAATATAATAATATAAAAATAAAATATGCAGATGACAAGTTTACAAGAATTAGAGTATATAGAATTCCTTTGAAACAAATAACGAGACAATTGGGTTGCATCTATCTAAATATGGTACTGTTAAAAACATTCAGAACGAATATGTGAGTAGCCCGAAAAGGAGTATAGATGATACGAATAAGAAATTTTTAACAGGAACAAGATTAGTGGACATGATTCTGGAAAAGCCCATTCCATCTTTTATTCACATTAATGGCGATAAAGCGTTAATTACATATTATAACCAGCCGAAAACATGTGCGTATTGTTTTGAAACAACGCACATAATCAGCCAATGTGAAAAAAGAAAAAACAGTGAAAATAAGAAAAATTATACAGCGAAATAACAGGAAATAAAGATGGAGACGAAATATTATTACAAGACATAGAAATAGTACCAACAGTAAACCAAGAATCAGTACCAGTAGTTAACCCAGATATAGCAACAAACATAAATCAAAATAAAATAATAGAACAAAACGATGACGAGCCGATGAATATGGACATTATTGTAGAAAATATAAACACTGAAAATGATCCGAACTCCGCAATAATACTAGCAAGTATTATAAATGCGAATATTGATTCAGAAAAAACCAACAGAACAGAATGTAAAAAACATAAAACAATGATGGAAACACTAATGGACCAACACGAAAAAATTAGAAAAATAGTTGTTTGCGCCGCACCTGTGTAGGTTGTCGGACCTGTAAAAGGTTTGTTTTTCTACTCGGACAATACGTTTCAAATTTAGGCAATCGGGCAATTCTGACTCATAAAAAGGCCGATGCAGGCAATAGTTTTTCCATTCAAATCAATTCATTCCGCGCCTTTCATTCGTTCAGTTACTTTCAGTTCCTTACAGTGTTCGAGTTGATTTATTCCGTGGTTTTCATTCATTTTGGTTTAATTCATTCATTCAGTTACTTGCAATCAATACATTCAGTTCCTTTCAGTGTTTGTTATCAGTTCAATATTATCAGTGGATTAAATTTCTATTGTGTGTCAAGTCAACAGTTATTTTTATTTGTCAGTGTATTCGAATTTCTTTTCAACCTATCCAACCGACTACGCTGATGTTTCCAGATCCAAACAAATAGCTGCCGCGGCTTGGACTTCCAAAACAGATAACATTTTCATACAATATTAATTAGTGTTCATTTTTGTTTTTTTTCATTTATATAGAATATATTTAAGTTTTTTATTGATTACGGATTAAGAAGAACCTTATTTTTAATTTATATTTGTTTACCATTGGTTTTTGTTTTCTGAATACATTTAATTTTTTTATTTTTCCTCGAAGTATAAAATACTTCGAAAGGGGTTGAGAAATACTTCGAAAGGAGTTGAGAAACCCCCCAACATCAACATTTGGTCCTTCGAGCCGGATCCTAATTATTATTAGGATTAATTGGGTGTATACAGAAAACAAAAATATATATAATGGCGCCTAAAATCGATATTGGTGCAGAAATTGCACGTCTAACCGCCAAGAGAGAGATGTACTTTTCAATTGTGCAAGAAACGTACGATCTATCGCAACAGATTGATGTATCTTCAAATAAGACACAATTTCTTGAAAATTTATATATTACTGAAAATGCTCGTGAACAATTTATTCAATTGTGCGATGAAATAAACAAATTAAAATATTTAGATAATCCTAGTTTCATTCCGGAATATTCCGCAATAAAGGCCCTTGAAACGATGTATGCCAAAATAAAACACGCTGAGAAATTACTAGATAATAAAAATGCGCATAGTTCTTCAATTAAAGACATTGTACCCAAGCAACATTTACCGTCCATTGAAGTACCTAAATTCTCAGGTGATATTCAACAATGGCCATTATTCTATGAAACATTTAATTCACTAATTCATGAAAATACAGAGTTAGATAATGTATCAAAATTTCATTTTTTAAAAGGAGCGTTACAGGGTCCGGTTTTAAAAATATTTCATTCTATACTACCGACCGCAAATAATTATCAAATTCTTTGGGAAGCGCTCATAAAAAAATACCAAAATAAACGGTACTTAGCCACCAATTATTTCAAACAACTATTGTCATTCAAAACCATTTCATCTGGACAAATAAATTCATTCCTGGAAAAATTCGATACCGCGGTGCAAGCGCTCTCCCAATTGAATATTCCCGACGCCTATGATTTCCTTATTACGTCACTGGCATTCTCGAAACTCGATCCGTTGTTACAAGAAAAATTCGAGCATTTTTATCAAGGTGAGTTTCCCAAATACCAAGACCTCCTGCATTTTCTTCAAAAGTCACAACAGGCAAAAAATCAAGTATATGGTATGACCAACAATTTCACTAATGACAAACCCAATTACAAAAACACTAAAATTAGCCGGTCATTTTTGTTAAAAAATAAATATGATAACAAATGCTTTGTGTGTCGGGAACAACACAGAGTGTTTACTTGTTCGAAATTTCTTTCATTGAGTATACCTGATAGGCGATCCCTTATTCAAAAATTAAACTTATGCGACAATTGTTTGGGTCATAAGATAACGACTACGTGTCGATCGAATAAAACCTGTTTATTATGTAACGAACGACATCACTCGCTATTGCATACTGGTAGCAATTTTGCGAGTACGGATCAAAATAATCTTTCTAATTCCAAATCAGGTAGTACGGTTTTATGCGCATTTAATCAAAACAAAATCGCACATCATATTACCATATTGCCGACAGCAGTAGTAAAAGTTACTACTAGAAAAGAAAACATTTTATTACGTACAATTATTGATTCGGGAAGCGATAGAAATTTTGTGACATTAACTTGGTGCAAAAAGGCTGATTTACAAATTCTTCCAATATCAACCCAAGTGATCGGGTTAGGCAATTCGTCACATAAAGTTATTGGATTAGTTAATTTCACTTTGAAATCTTTAATTGATTCTTATCAGTTATCGGTCTGTGCATACGTAGTACACGAGATAGTGGGAAAGCAACCACAAATTACCATTCCGATTTCATCCATCAAAACATTTCTGAATTATCCTTTAGCGGATCCTAACTTTCATACACCCCAGGAGGTCGACGGAATTTTGGGTTGCGATGTTTTCGGCGAAATTCTTGGCACTCATCAGGTTAAAAATGATAAAGGATTACCTGTGGCCCTAGAAACCCGGTTGGGTTATCTAATATTAGGTTCCATTCCTGATTTATTTGAAAATACCGGCACTTCTACTAATTTATGTAATGTTTCAGATTCAGATTTCCATTTACAAATGAATAAATTCTTACAATTAGAAGACATTCCCGAAATAATCCTCTCTTCTAACGATGATTTATGCGAAAACCATTTTACTACAACTACTACGCGATCTCCAGATGGACGATATGTAGTAGCGCTGCCTTTTAAAAGTGAAGGCAGAAATTTATACAAATCATTTCATTTAGCCTTAAAGCGATACCACATGCTTGAAAATAAATTTTTGAAATATCCCGAATTTCATAAAAAATATGCCGCCGTTATAGAAGATTACCTGACTCAAAACCAATTATCCTTTGTCGATTATTGTCCGGTAGATCATGAAGTCGATGATTTTATTAAAATAAGAAATGGATATTATATTCCTCATTTCGCTGTCGAAAAAGAAAGTTCCTCTACGCCTTTACGCGTCGTGTTTGATGCATCTGCGAAAAATTCAGAATTCACTTCCTTGAACGAAATTTTGCATGTTGGTCCTAAATTACAAACCGACATTTGTTCAATCCTTCTAAATTTTCGTTTCGGGCCTATAGCATTAACAGCTGATATCAAACAAATGTATCGTAATATTTGGGTTCGTAAACAAGATAGAAAATATCAAAAAATCTTATGGAGACCGTTTCCCGATGCACCCATTGGCATCTATGAATTAAATACCGTAACTTTTGGTCTATCATCATCTCCCTTTCAAGCTATCAGAACCATCAAACAACTATCCCGAGACGAATGTTCCAAATATTCTCAATCTATTTCTAGAATTCTTGAGAACGATGTCTATATTGATGATGTGGTTACAAGTATCGACTCCTTGGATAGCGCTAAAACCATTTGCGAGGGTTTGCAGACTGTATTATCGTCTGGTGGTTTTGAATTAAAAAAGTGGGAATCTAATAATTCTAATCTGCGTAAACTTTTTTCTGATTCTGATGTACAAAATAAACATTTCTCTAAATCGGATTTTCAAATGGAATCTTCTACAAAGGTATTGGGATTAAAATGGGATCCCTTATCAGATAATTTTTCATTCGAAATAAAGCTTACGTGGAGAAAATGGACAAAGAGACAACTTCTTTCAGTAATAGCGCGAATCTGGGATCCTCTGGGTTTTCCTAACTCCGATAGTTGTTAAGATAAAAATATTATTGAAAAAAAATTGGACATTAAAAATCGATTGGGATGAGGAATTACCATCATTTATTATTACATCATGGTTAGCCGTATATTCCGAATTAGAGCATCTTAATAACTATCAGATTCCGCGTTATCTCGAAACATCAAAACAAAACAAATGTTCATTATTTGGTTTCGCGGATAGTTCAGAGCAAGCGTATGGAGCGGTAGTTTATATTAAATCTCTTGGCAATCCGAATTTCTTGTTGATTTCAAAATCGCGTGTAACACCGATTAAAAACCAAACATTAGCCAGGCTTGAACTTTGTGCCTGTCATTTACTGTCAAAACTTCTGAATTTTATATTAACGAATAACCAACATAGTATAGATTTTGATTCTATTTACTGTTTTTCCGATTCTATGATTGTCCTTCACTGGTTAGCAGGACCGGCTACTCGTTGGAAAACATTTGTAGCCAATAGGGTAACAAAAATACGGGATCTCATTCCTAATGCACAATGGCTTCACATTCCTTCTAATCAAAATGCAGCCGATTGTGTTTCTCGAGGTCTTCGACCTAAGGATTTTATCCAACATAAGAATTGGTTGTTTGGGCCGGATTGGTTGAATGGTCCTATATCAACTTGGCCTGCAAAAACGGTTGAACCTTCCGGAGATATTGATCAAGAAAGAAAAGCTAACGTCTAATAGTAAAGAGTGTCATACCACCGATCAATCCTTTATATGAATTAACGCAAAAATTTTCTAATTGGTGCAAACTTGTAAGAATTTTCGCTTATATATTGAAGTTTTGTAAAATTATAACAAATCGAAACCGACTTTTGACTTCAGATTTGAAACAAGCCGAGGTATTATTATTCGTTTAGTCCAAGAACATTTTCCCGAAGAATTCAAACTATTAACGAACGGAAAGTCTTGTTCGAAGAAGTTTTGCCGACTAAATGTGGTTTGGATTCTAATAATTGTTTACGCGTTAAAGGTAGATTAGGATTAACAACTAATAACAATCCACTTCTTTTGCCAAAAAAAGACCAAGTAGTAAATTGTCTCATAGATTACTACCATATTAATAATTTACATACTGGATCAAACTTAGTATTATCTTTATTGAGGCAAAAATATTGGATCTTGTCGGCTCGTGCAATAATTCGCAATCGTCTCACAAGTGTATAACTTGTTTTCGACAGAATCCGAAACCCATTTTTCCATTCATGGGCGACTTACCAGTACCGCGCATAACAGCCAGTAGAGCTTTCCTAAACGTCGGCGTTGATTATGCAGGCCCCTTCAATATCTCCATGAGTCGTCACAGAGGCGCTCGAACCTACAAGGCTTATATATGCTTGTTCATCTGTTTAGCCACTAAGGCGATACATCTCGAATTAGCTTCAGATTTAACAAGCGATACATTTTTAGATTGCTTGAAACGATTCCTAGCCCGGCGTGGTCCTATTAAATGTATTTACTCCGATTGTGGAACCAATTTTATAGGAGCCAAAAATACTCTTGATTCCTTATTCCTTCTCCTAAATTCCGAAGAGTATAAAAAGCGTTTCAATGAATTATTGGTTTTACATGACATTGAATGGAAATTTAATCCACCGTTTGCCCCACATTTTGGAGGTATATGGGAGGCGAATATTAAATCAGTGAAGACCCATTTGTTTAAAGTTATAGGGTTGCAAATTTTATCCTACGAAGAGTTTAATACAGTCCTCAATCAAATCGAAGCCTTACTGAATTCAAGACCGTTATGTTGGCTGAGCAATGATCCGTCGGACCCTCAGCCTCTTACGCCTGCGCACTTTTTAATGCAAGAGCCTCTGTCGGATTTGCCCGTTGACTATGAAAACTTGAATTTGACTAAAAGAAAACAATTGCTAGATCATATTGTCGCTTCTTACTGGAAGCGATGGAATGTGGAATATCTAACCGAGCTACAGGTCCGACAGAAATGGAATACAGTCACTAATCCTATTAAAAAGGGTGATTTGGTAGTTGTAAAACAAGAGAATGCGCGTCCGCTCCATTGGGGGTTGGGAAGAGTTGAAGAGGTTTTTCCGGGCTCCGATGGAGTGGTTCGAGTAGCATTGGTAAAAACGGGAAATACCCTAATCAAGCGGCCTGTTGTCAAACTATGCCCCCTACCTATTCAATAGTTTATATCTGAATTATTCATTTCAAAAAAAAAAAAAAACTTTTCTATCTCATGATATATTTGCTTCTATATATTTTTGCCAAATTTTCAATCTCCAGGGCGATGAGAACACCCCTCATAGTCTCTGGAAGATTCTTGTAAATGTCCAAAAAATCTAGACCCTGGCGCGAAAATAAAACTTCCGCAATCTAGATCGTGTGAATGTGGTAGGTCGTGAGAGGGGGACCCTGGCGCGAGGTCAGGCTTCCGTAACCGATCTACTCTGAATGAAAGTTTGAATTTATTTTGGCAATTCTATCCTTCCTAATCATGAGGTTCACTATGTACCAATTTCGAGTATTTTCAGAAGTATAAAGGCTAACCTTTTAGTCGGGGGAAAATGTTTGCGCCGCACCTGTGTAGGTTGTCGGACCTGTAAAAGGTTTGTTTTTCTACTCGGACAATACGTTTCAAATTTAGGCAATCGGGCAATTCTGACTCATAAAAAGGCCGATGCAGGCAATAGTTTTTCCATTCAAATCAATTCATTCCGCGCCTTTCATTCGTTCATTACTTTCAGTTCCTTACAGTGTTCGAGTTGATTTATTCCGTGGTTTCATTCATTTTGGTTTAATTCATTCATTCAGTTACTTGCAATCAATACATTCAGTTCCTTTCAGTGTTTGTTATCAGTTCAATATTATCAGTGGATTAAATTTCTATTGTGTGTCAAGTCAACAGTTATTTTATTTGTCAGTGTATTCGAATTTCTTTTCAACCTATCCAACCGACTACGCTGATGTTTCCAGATCCAACCAAATAGCTGCCGCGGCTTGGACTTCCAAAACAGATAACATTTTCATACAATATTAATTAGTGTTCATTTTGTTTTTTTTCATTTATATAGAATATATTTTAGTTTTTTATTGATTACGGATAAGAAGAATTTTATTTTAATTTATATTTGTTTACCATTGGTTTTTGTTTTCTGAATACATTTAATTTTTTTATTTTTCCTCGAAGTATAAAATACTTCGAAAGGGGTTGAGAAATACTTCGAAAGGAGTTGAGAACCCCCCAAACATCAAAATAGTAGATAAAGGTACCAATACCATCATTAAAAAATTCTAATGAATTGTAACAAGGACAATATTAGCCTAATATTTGGCTTCATATTCGTTACCAAAATAACATAATCAGGAAAATATTAAGAGACTTCGATGTAGACGTGGCGTTCTACAAGAAGTTACCGTCGAATTAAAAAATTTCATGTTTTGGTTATGATGTATTGCATAATAATCAAAACATTGAAAGAGGTACGGCGATCATATACCGGAAACAATTGCTGTAGAAAATCCTGTATATCAACTGATGGAAGAATAACATCAATCACTATTGACAAAATAGAATTATTTGTATTTATGCTCCATCTGGAAGCAAAAAATAGAAACATTCGAAATTTCTTTTTGAAAATGATATACTGCCCACATATAGTCGATAAAAAGTAGATTGATTTTAATAGGAGATTTCAATTGCGTGATAAATGCAAAAGACCAGCAAGGTAATACCACAAATTTCTGTAATGGTTAAATAGATTAGTTCAACAAACTGGATCTTAAAGATACATGGGAAAAGCAGTATGGAAATTTAGTGAATTTACCTTCGTAAGACATTCTACAAAATCTAGGATAGACAGAGCATATGTATCTAAAATAT